AAACGGGGAAAAACTGTGAAAAAACGGGGAAAAAAGGGGAAAAAATGGGGAAAAAATGAGCGAAAACAGCCAAGGAATGGGGAGTTCTGCAGCAGCGAGTGCCTGGTGCGCCACTGCCGGTGAGAAACGGGGGAAAAAAGGGGGAAAACGGGAAAAAATGGGGAAAATCGGTGAAAAAATGAGCGAAAACGGGGGAAAAATGAGCAAAAATGGGGGGAAAATGGGGAGTGCCTGGTGCGCCACTGCCGGTGAGAAACGGGGCAAAAAAGGGGGAAAACAGTGAAAAAATGGGGAGAAACGGTGAAAAAACGGGGAAAATCGGTGAAAAAATGAGCGAAAACGGGGGAAAAATGAGCGAAAACGGTGAAAAAATGGGGGAAAAATGGGCAAAAACGGTGAAAAAATGGGGGGAAACGTTGAAAAAATGAGCAAAAATGGGGGAAAACAGTGAAAAAATGGGAAAAAACTGTGAAAAAATGGGGGAAAATGGAGGAAAAAATGGGGGAAAACGAGGGATAAAAATGGGCAAAATGGGGGAAAAAATAGCCAAAACGGGGGGGAAATGGGCAAAAACGGAAAAACGGGGGGAAACTGCGGTTTTGGGGAAAAAATGGGGATTTTGGGAAAAGAAATGGAGATTTCGGGCAAAATTGGAGATTTGTGCTGGGCAAATGGAGGTTTCTGCAGAAAAAATGGGGGTTTGGGTCAAAAAATTGGATTTTCTCATAAAAAAAGGGGATTTTTGACAGAAAAATGGAATTTTGGGGGGAAAAATGGAGATTGGGGCCAAAAAATGGGGATTTCGGCATGGGAAAAAGGGATTTGGGCCCAAAAATGGGGATTTTGGCAAAAAACTTGGGATTTGTGAAGGGAAAATGGGATTTCTCCTGGAAAATGGGGTTTCTGACAGAAAAACAGGAATTTCTCCCAAAAAATCGGGATTTCTCACGTTAAAATGGGAATTTCTGCTGGAAAAACGGGAATTTCTCCCAAAAAATGGGAATTTCTCCCAAAAATCGGGAATTTCTGCCACAAAACTGGAATTTCTCCCAAAAACCGGGAATTTCTCACCAAAAAATGGGGATTTCTCGTGTTAAAACGGGAATTTCTGCTGGAAAAACGGGAATTTCTCCCAAAAACCGGGAATTTCTGCCGGAAAAAAAACCCAAAAAAAAATCCACTTGAAACCCCCCAAAACCCCCTTCGAACCCTCAAAACCAGCCCCAAAATCGCCGTTTTTTCCCCCAAACCCGCCGGGTTTTCGCCCCAAAATCTGATTTTTTGCCCGAAATCAGCGTTTTTTGCCCCAAAATCTGCTTTTTTTCCGTTTTCCAGGGACGTGTTCCTGGCCTGGCTGGCCGCCCGCAGCGCCGGCAGCAGCAACGTCGTCTTCGTCAAGTGAGGCCCCCCCGGATTTTGGGGCAATTTTGGGCTTTTTTGGGTCGGTTCGGGCGCATTAAAAACTCGCTGCCGTCTCTGCGCTTTGGGGTTTTTTGTGGTTTTTTTATTTCGAGGTTTTTCGCCCCAAAATCGGGGTTTGGGTGGGGGGGGGGGGAGCGGAACGGTTAAAAAAAGGGATTTTAGGGGAAAAAAAAGAGGTGGAAATGGTAAAATTTGGGGTTGGAAAGTTAAAAATTTGGTTTTGTGCTTGGGTAAAAATGGGGTTTGAGGGGTAAAAGTCCAGTTTGGAGAGGAAAAATGGATTTGGAACCCCAAAAATACAATTTACACCCCAAAAAATCCAATTTAGACCCAAAATATCCAATTTACACCCCAAAATATCCAATTTAGTCCCAAAAAATCCAATTTAGACCCAAAAAAATCCAATGTAGACCCAAAATATCCAATTTACACCCCAAAAAAACCAATTTAGTCCCAAAAAATCCAATTTAGTCCCAAAAAATCCAAGGTAGACCCCAAAAATCCAATTTAAACACAAAAAATTTATATTTAGACCCAAAAGTCCCATTTTAGGCCCAAAAAAATCCCATTCGTGCCCCAAAAATCCAATTTATGCCCAAAAAAAATCCATTTGAGCCCCAAAAATCGAATTTAGGCCCAAAAATCCAATTTTGACCCAAAAATTCAATTTAACTCTCCCAAAAATCCAAATCCACCCCAATTTTCCTCATTTTCACCTTTTTTTCATAATTTTCACCTTTTTTCCTAATTTTCAGTCTTTTTCCATAATTTTCACCAATTTTTCCTCATTTTCACCTTTTTATTTTTTTTTCCTCATTTTCACCTTTTTTCATAATTTTCAATTTTTTTCCTCATTTTTTACCATTTTTCCATAATTTTCACCATTTTTTCCTCATTTTCACCTTTTTCCATAATTTTCACCTTTTTCCATAATTTTCTTCTTTTTTTCCTCATTTTCACCTTTTTTCATAATTTTCAATGTTTTTCCCTCATTTTCACTTTTTTCCCTCATTTTTCACCTTTTTTTCATAATTTTCACATTTTTTATTTTCACCATTTTTCCATAATTTTCACCAGTTTTTCCTCATTTTCACCTTTTTTTAATAATTTTCACCATTTTTTCCTCATTTTCACCATTTTTTCTCATTTTTACCTTTTTTTCATAATTTTCTTTTTTTTTCTTAATTTTCACCATTTTTTCCTCATTTTCACCTTTTTTCATAATTTTCTTTTTTTTTCTTAATTTTCACCATTTTTTCCTCATTTTCACCTTTTTTCCCCCAAAAAAACCACGCCAGCCTTTCCTTGCAAATCCTTTTATTTCCACGCTGCCCCAAACCCCAAAAATTCTCTAAAAAACCCAAAAACCACCCAAAAAAATCTCTAAATAATAACAAATACCCTGTAAAAACAAAAAAAAACCAAAATAATTAAAAACCCCCAAACTTCCCCCAAAAAAATTTAAAAAAACCCCAAAACAACCCCTCAAAAAAACCCAAAAAAATATAAATACCAAAAATAAAATAAAATAAATCCCTAGGAAAAAATGTCAAGAAAAAACACAAAAAACAAAATAAAACTCAAACATTAAAAAATCCTAAAAATGACAAAGAAACGAAAAAAATACTCAAAAAAGCCCCAAAAAAACAAACAAAAAAACCCCTAAAATAACAAAAAAAAACCAAATAAAAACAAAAAAAATCCCTAATAAAAACCAAAAAAACCCCACAAAAAACACTTAAAATCCCCAAAAAAATCCAAATAAAACCCAAAAAAACCCCTAAAAAGCCCAAATAAAAAACCTTAATGAAAACAAAAAAAAACCACTAAAAAAAACCCAAAAAACGAAAAAAAATTCTAAAAAATCCAAATATAAATCCCAAATAGAATCCCCAAATGAACCCAAATAAGTTTTTTTAAAATCCCCAAAAAAACCCAAATAAAACCCAAAAAACCTCAAATAAAAACCCAGATAAAACCCATAAAAACCCCAAAAAATTGCTAAAAAATTCAAATAAAACCCTAATTAAAAACTCTTTTAAAAAATCCTAAGAAAACCTAAATTAAACCCAAAAAAACCCTAAATAAACCCAAAAACAAAGCCAAAAAAGAAAAAAAGCCAAAAAAATTGCTAAAAACCCCAAATAAAACAAAAAAATCCCAAATAAAACCCCAAATAAAATTCCTAAAACCCAAAAAAACCCAAAAAACGAGAAAAAACCCAAAAACTGGCTAAAAAACCCAAATAAAATCCCCAAATAAAACCCAATAAATATTAAAAAAAAACCTCTTAAAAACCCAATTTAAAACCCCCAAAAAAATCCCAAATAAAAGCCTGAATAAGACCCAAAAAAACCCCAAAAAAATGAAAAAAATGAACCAAAAAATGGCTAAAAAGGTCAAATAAATCCCAAAAAAATCCCAAATAAAACTCAAAAAAATCCCTAATAAAATCCTGAATTAGACCCAAAAAAAACCCAAAAAAATGAAAAAAAACCAAAAACGGCTAAAAATACAAAATAAAACCCCAAATAAAACCCAAAAAACCCCAAATAAAACCCAAAAAAATTCCAAATAAAGTCCAAATGAAACCCTGAATAAGACCGAAAAAAAACCCAAAAAAAGGAAAAAAAAAGTCTAAAAATATAAAATAAATCCCCAAAAAATTCCAAATAAAATCCAAATAAATCCCAAATAAAAGCCTAAATAAGACCCAAAAAAACCAAAAAAATGAAAAAAATAAAACAAAAAAATGACTAAAAATATAAAATAAAACCCCGAATAAAACCCCAAAAAAATTCCAAATAAAATCCAAATAAATCCCAAATAAAAGCCTGAATAAGACCCAAAAAAAAACCCCAAAAAATTGAACAAAACCCCAAAAAATGACTAAAAAAATCAAATAAAACCCAAATAAATCCCAAATAAAAGCCTGAATAAGACCCAAAAAAAACCCCAAAAAAATGAAAATAAAACCCAAAAAAAATTACTAAAAAACCAAATAAAACCCAAATAAATCCCAAATAAAAGCCTGAATAAGACCCAAAAAAAAACCCCAAAAAATGAAAATAAAAAACAAATAAAACCCCAAATAAATCCCAAAAAAACCCCTGAATAAGACCCAAAAAAAACCCCAAAAAAATGAAAAAAAACCCAAAAAAATGACTAAAAAAATCAAATAAAACCCAAATAAATCCCAAATAAAAGCCTGAATAAGACCCAAAAAAAACCCAAAAAAAATGAAAATAAAAACCAAAAAAAATGACTAAAAAAACCAAATAAAACCCCAAATAAATCCCAAAAAAACCCTGAATAACACCGAAAAAAAACCCAAAAAAATGAAAATAAAAACCAAAAAAAATGACTAAAAAACCAAATAAAACCCAAATAAATCCCAAATAAAAGCCTGAATAAGACCCAAAAAAAACCCCAAAAAATGAAAATAAAAACCAAACAAAACCCCAAATAAATCCCAAAAAAAACCCCAAAAAAATGAAAATAAAAACCAAAAAAATGACTAAAAAAACAAATAAAACCCCAATTAAATCCCAAAAAAAAAACCCAAACAAAACGCCAAATAAATGCATAAAAACCCCAAATAAAACTCACAGAAAAGCCCCGAATTAACGCAAAAAAACCGAAATAAATTCGGCGTTCAGAGGTTCTTGGGCTTGGCGATGACGCCGTCGGGGTAGTGCTGCTTGAACCGCGCCACCACGTCGGGGTCCAGCAGGTGGATCCCGTCCAGCTGGTTCCCCAGCGTGATCCTGAGGGAAAAAATACAAAAATAATTAAATTTCAGACCCGGAAAACTCGAGTTCAGCCATCAAAAAAAAAATCCCGTTAAAAAATGGCAAAAAAATAAAAAAAAAAACACAAAAACCACGGATTTCTGGCCCGAAAAATCAAAAAAAAATCAAATTTCAGACTCGGAAAAATCAAGTTCAGACATCAAAAAAAAAATCACACAAAAAAAACGAATTTCAGTCCCGAAAAACCCCAAAAAAAGCAAATTTCAGACCCAAAAAACTCAAGTTCAGTGATCAAAAAAAATCCCCCCAAAAAACCCAAAAAAAAGCAAATTTCAGACCCAAAAAACTCAAGTTCAGTGATCAAAAAAAATCCCCAAAAAAAACCCAAAAAAAACCAAATTTCAGACCCAAAAAACTCAAGTTCAGTGATCAAAAAAAATCCCCCAAAAAAACCCAAAAAAAAATCAAATTTCAGACCCAAAAAACTCAAGTTCAGCCATCAAAAAAAAAAATCCCATAAAAAAATTGCAAAAAAATACCCACAAAAAAAACGATTTTCAGTCCCGAAAAACCCCAAAAAATATCAAATTTCAGACCCAAAAAAATCAAGTTCAGCCATCAAAAAAAAAATCCCGTTAAAAAATGGCAAAAAAATCCAAAAAAACCACAAAAAACACGAATTTCTAACCCGAAAAATAAAAAAAAAAAATCAAAAATCCGAAAAAAAAAAAAAAAAAAAAAAAAAAAAAAAACACACAAAAAAAAACAAAAAAAAAAAACGAATTTCAGTCCCGAAAAACCCCAAAAAAATCAAATTTCAGACCCAAAAAACTCAAGTTCAGCCATCAAAAAAAATCCCCAAAGAAAACCCAAAAAAAATCAAATTTCAGACCCAAAAAACTCAAGTTCAGACATCAAAAAAAAATCCCGTAAAAAATCGCAAAAAAACCGAATTTCAGTCCCGATAAACCCCAAAAAAATCAAATTTCAGAGCCAGAAAACTCAAGTTGAGACATAAAAAAAAAATCCCGTAAAAAATCGCAAAAAAACCGAGTTTCAGTCCCGAAAAACCCCAAAAAAATCAAATTTCAGACCCAAAAAACTCAATTCAGCCATCAAAAAAAATCCCGTAAAAAAATCGCCAAAAAAACCCAAACAAATCAAATTTCAGACCCAAAAAACTCAAATTCAGCCATCCAAAAAAATCCCCCCAAAAAATCGCAAAAAAACCCCAAAAAAACACCAAAAAAACCAAATTTCAGTCCCAAAAAATCCAAATCTAGTTAACAAAAAAAATCCCACAAAGAATCCCCAAAAAAAACACCAAAAAAAACCAAATTTCAGTCTCAAAAAACCCCAAAAATTCCAAATTCAGTCATTAAAAAAAATCCCAAAAAAATCTAAAAAGAGACACCAAAAAAAACCCAAAAACCCCCAAATTTCAGTCCCAAAAAACCCAAAAAATCCAAATTCAATCACTAAAAAGAATCCCCTTTAAACTCCTCCAAAAATCCCCTAAAAGTCCCCCAAAATCCCCTTTAAACCCCTGAAAACCCCCCCAAAAAAATCTCCAAAAAATCCCATTTAAACCCCTAAAAAAATCCCATTTAAATTCCCCAAAATCTCTGTTAAAATAAAAAAAAAAAAATCCCCTTTAAATCCCAAGAAAAAAAATCCAAAAAATCTCATTTAAATCCCAAAAAAACCCCCAAAAATCCCCAAAAAAATCCCCAAAAAATCCCCCAAAAAACCCCAAAAATCCCATTTAAACCCCTAAAATAATCCCATTTAAATTCCCCAAAATCCCTGTTAAAATAAAAAAATCCCCTTTAAATCTCAAAAAAAACCCCAAAAAATCCCCTTTAAATCCCCCCCCCAAAAAAACCGAAAAATCCCATATAAATCCCATTTAAATCCCCTTTAACCCCCCCAAAAAA